TGACCCTGTGGTGGTATTGGATAATACAGTGGGGGCACTGGATTGTACTGTGGTGGTGCTGGGTGATGCAGTTAGAGCACGGGTCCATACTGTGGTGGTGCCGGGTGGTACTTTGGCTAGAGCACCAGATCATACTATGGGGGTGCCAAGTGGTACTGTGGAGGGGCAGAGTCGTATCGAGGTGGGTCGGGATCCTCTTGCTGTAGAGGTGGCTCAACTTGTGGCAGCGGAGAAGGGTCAGGTAGCTTCATCCTTTCCTTCAGGGCCTGCTGGACAGCGATGAGTCTCTCCAACATATTAAATAACCAGTCAACATCCTTTCGTAGCGAACCCTCCCGGGCTGCTCAGTTTAATAGGGCCTTCCTCCTCTCATTTATCTGTATATGCATTTCACAAGGAACAGTTGAGTGATAATTCATTATTTTTGGTGTTTCTTAAGAATTTTGTGTAAGGAATGGGTCCGAGGAATGCGCCTCTGATACCAAATGTAACGACCCCAAAAATTTTAAAAGAAATAAATCATAAATTAAGTGCGGAAGTGAAATAATTAGTTAGGGTTTATATTCCTTACGCAATAACTTAAAGTACCAAATAATGTTATGGGAATCACCCTTTTAAAGGAAATACAAAAAAATTAAGGAAATAAACGAAAAATAAATAAAATTGGCATCCTACTCGCAACCCTCTTGTGGATCGGGCTCTGCTTCTTGGTTATCTTGATATGAAATGGTTAATAAAGGAATGAGCTACACTATCCCAGTAAAAATATCACGCTACTCACTAACACGGAAATGAAGGTTGGTAGAAAAATCAAAACAACTAATAGAGCTCTTAATTAAGCAAATTCATTTGTCATAACAAAATTGTTTACTGTCCACTTACCGTAGCGAGATTTACAAAATAACTTATAGAGACAATAATGTAACACATATCATGATTTCATATGCAATTGGTTTAAATAATAATTTTCTCTTTTATCAGCCTACTAGTATCCATGGGAGTTCATATGGATGTCCCCACAACACGTGAACTATTTTCTTTAACATTTCTAATTAACAGGCCGTTCCCATGCCCCGTCCGGTATGAGTGCCAAATTACCAAGTCTCGATACCCCGTCCGGTATGAGGCAACGTTCACAGTAAGATTTTCTATGTACCCGGTCCGTCCACCATCTCCTAAGATATCTAGTAAGGTTGTTGTTTCATCCATTCACTTAATCACACAATTTTTCATTTACCTCTAATCTCCAGTTTTCCAATTCAACTGTAATTACATAAAACAAATAATATATACATTCAAAACTATAAAATCGATCAATCAAATATTATCATGCATTCAAACTGTAAAATTAATCAACAGTGAATAATTTACGGTTCTAACTCTATTAGTAACCTGTAATAAATTATGGATATTTTTTAAATTATACAAAATATCGTATTATTGTTAATTTGACTTCAATTCCATAACAGAGAATAGGGTGAGAGATTCTTACCCAATTCGATGCTCAAAAAGCTAAACTTATTGACTGCATCTACTGACGGTCCCCAGGTTCCTTAAATTTTTCTTCAAGGATTAAAGTGCACTACAAGTACCTACAAATATCCCAGGAAAATTCAAAATCAATGTCAAGAACCCGTTTGGCAAATTTAGAATTCTGGCACGGCGGCTCCCGTAGTGCTCCGGCGACGGTCGTCGCCTGTGGGGGGTGGTTTGCCTCGGGTTGATTGTTCCTACCGTTTCAGCTGAATTTTGTTGGTTTTACATCAATCCTGCGAGAAATCGAAACTCACCAGCAGCGGAGTTCTTCAGTACGGCGGCTCCGCTGGCTCATTTTTGTGGTTGGGTGTTTTGCTTCGGTCAACCTGTAGAGAAGAAAACTGTAGTTACAATGGTGAAAGAATTACGTAGAATGGGAATCGGGAAGGAGGTCATTAGAGGCATTTTTTAAATTTTTCCGCGGCGGTGCTGCCGGGCTTTGCATGCGATTTTCGGCTAATCCGCCGTTTTTTTGCTCCGATTCGACCATGGGAGTGTTTAAAATTGAATTCTGAGCAAATAAGAAAATTTTTACCTCTTTTGGTGGTCGGAAGTGGCTACGGCGTGGCGGCGGCTCTCCTTCCTGGCGGTTGGGTCTTCTTCTCCGCCGAGGGTGTCTGGCGACTAGGGTTAGGGTTTGGTGTGAAGAGAGTTATTTATATCCGTTCCCTTTTAATTTAGACCGTCCATCGCGTTTGATCTGGACCGTTCGATCACAATTGAATAGGGAATGAACCTGAACCATTTATCGTGATCTGATCTGAACCATCCGATCGCATTTAAATAGGAAGTAGATATGGACCGTTGATCACGTTTAAATCGGACCGTCCGATCGTGTTTGGGGAGGGAACGCATCCGGGCCGTCCATGCGCGCGGGAACGCATCCGGACCGTCTGTGCACGCGAGAGTGAATATGGACCGTCCGATTGCGGGTGCACGGATCGCCCGTATGGCCTCTCGCATGGCCCTGCGTCAGCGTCCTTTGCCACGCGGCGCGTTCCAGTTCGTCGGGGCTACTGACTGAGAGTCCTACGTGGCACAACTTTCTTAATTTGCGTTTTAATTTCCAGTTTCTGATTTTTCTTTCAAAAATACTCATAAAACTTAAATTTTCACTCATTTTTCTTAAAATTGATTTTAATTTCTTCATCATTCTATTTTTCTTCATTTTTACATTAAATTAAAATTTAAAAAATTAAAAATTATATTTATAAATTAATTTGGGTATTACATACCAATTGAATCATATGTTACTTTTTTTTTTTATTTTTTATACAAATAAAAGTCAAAGATTCGAATCTTACTTAAAATAAGAATAAGTATAGATTACCTTATACAAAAAAATAAAGACATGATAATTAAATCTTAGGACATTTATGAGTACATGCACATTCCTTCGATGCTCATATTCAAATTGGTACTCAACAAAAATTGAATATTCATAAAAATATAAAAAGAAAAGGTATTCATAATTAAAATAATTATATACATGGTGAATTGGGAGCTACAAAATCTAATTCATTAGATTTCATTCTAATTAAACAAAATTAAACTAATCTATTTTGTCTTGATGGCTTCTTTTCTTTTCTTTATATATCTATATATATATATATATATATAATCATTGAATCAAACCCATATTTTCTCAATAAAAAATAATGAGTGAATCTTTTTTTGTGTTTGATGTATATCGTTATATATCACATTCCAAGCTATTATTATATATGGGTTTTTACTTTAGCCGCCTAACAAGTAAGATCTCATCTCTATCTTTTAGAATTGATGTTTTGATTTTTTTTTAAAAAAATAATTTAATTTCTAATATTTTTTTATTTATTTTAAATATTTAATTTAATATTTTTTAACAAAAATATATTTGGATATTTTAAAAAATAACTCTCAAAAATAATTTTAATTATTAATTAACTAAACATAACATTATATATTATTATTATTATTATTAAATTATTAATTTAATTAATTAGTTAAATTCATCTTTTTAAATTAATTTTTTTAAATATTCAAATATTATTTAATTGTTTTATTTTTTTTTAAAAGACAAAATTAAATTATTAAAAAATAAAATGGTAACAATTATGATGATAATTAATTATTAATTAATACAGAAAATGAGGCCCACAAGCATTAAAAAGTATACCTTAGTGTGAAAGCAATGTGTTCCCACTAGAGCATATGCTCTTTTAAATGCTTTAAATTAATATCTTTTTTACTTTTAATTAAAAATTACAAATAATATAATTTGTACCCTATATATATATATATATTTTTAATTCAAAATATTAAATTTTTGGTACTTGTTAATTATATATGTATATATTTTACGTATATGATTTAATTAATTATGAATTCTTTAAATGGTAAGATTTGGTTTTAAGTATTTAAACAATTACTATTATTATTATTGTAATTATTAGAATAAAAATTTTATAAATATTTATATTTAATTAATTAATTATTTATTTTTTAGAAAAAGAGGATAATAGGAGCAAATGGCCACGTGCTTTTTATGCAACATGCTTATTTTAGTTAGTGGAAATTGCTTTTATTATTAATAATTATTTTAGTATTCTACACAAAATCATGGCATCTTATCTTATTTTTCTTATACCTTAAATTACCAAATTATCCTCGACCCACTAATTTTTTCTTATATAAAAAATTATATATTTCAAAATTAAAAATAATATTTTTATAAAAATAATAATAATGGAGAGCATAGCTGGCAAAGTGGTAAGGTCAAGATCGTCAACCGGTGGTAAAAAAACTACGTCTATAGTGGCATTTTAGTAATATAATCAAAAACCATGGGCATTTTTAACCGTAATTCATATATAAGCAGTTTCTTCTAGCCTATGACACTCCACAGCACAAACAAATCACAAAACCAACAGGAGGAGATCCAAGTTGGAAGAAGCTTTTCGTTAATTAATCGGAAGAAGAAATGGCGAGGATGAAGATGATCAACACTGGTAACTTCCCTCAGAGGATTCACAGTAGCCGTCCGATCCCCAAGAGAGGGCAAGTGAAGGTGGCGATACTGGTGGGTTTGGCTCACTCTGTAGCTTCCATCTTCACCACCACTACTCGCAGAACAACAACCGCCGCCGCAGCTTCCTCTGTTCATCTTTCTTAATAAGTCAATTCCATGGATGATGAGCTTCTTTGCTACCCAGAAGCTCAAAGCTTTTTCTTTTCTTATGATTTTATTTAAGAGAAAGAAAAAGAGAGAGAGTGAGAAAAAAGATTTGGTGTTCATGTGAATTAGTAGTTTGAGCTTGTACAAACTTTTTGTAGCTTCCAGATTAATGAAATCTTTTTCTGCTATCTGGGTTTTTCTTTTCTTGAACCTAATAATATTGGGTTACTTCAATGTTAGTATTAGTCATGGGAGTCATGGACTGGTTCTGAAGCTGCCAGGGATTTGAGTGAGTAGTTGGTCAAAGTCAAATTCAAGACGCATAAATCCATGGATTTGTAAATGGGTATCCTAAGAATACATTTAATATGATATGGGTTATCCACCATATCCCCAAAGTTTGAAACTTGGAAACCTACAACCAGTAAATAAGCTACATCTGTTTACAGCCTGAAATGAACGTGGAGCAAAATCTACAGAGCAATACATCTAAAGTAAAGCTGTCTGCTTTAACCGATCCTGGAATTGTCTCTACCGAAAACCAGCGTGGTAGCCCAGTTCACAGCCACGTAGAACCTGTTCCGCCAGCTCACTACACGCGTCAGATAAGCCGATCGCCAAATCAGCCAACTTATAAACCCAGCAAGTGACACCCCCTTAGCATCCTGCCATCATTCACCAAGTACACGTTTCATTACCCACTTTCAGCCAACAATGCAACAAAATGTTTGAATCGACTCATTTCAAGCTTACTTTTTTTAGGTCAATCTCTAGATTCTTTCAATGAATTTGACAAAAAAACTACCCCATTGCAGTCACTGGATTCCTTTTCTCAGTACAATATAATATATGTTAAAAATACTTAACAGTCAACGTTGAAAGCTTTATGTTAAATTAGAATTCGGATAAATGAAGGGCTAAAATAAGTTGATTTAGAATAAGTAGATTGAATTCAAAATTCTCTTTATGCTTTTTCATACTGGAGAATTAAGTAGTCAAAATTTAGATCTGTCTTAAACTAGAATTTGACTGCAGAACCAAGACTTATTAATTTAGAACCACTGGATTCGACTCCAAGAATTAAGTTTGGAGTCCTTTATGTGCAAATTTGATGTATTATGTTGTAATTTTTTTTAAACAGTAAAAAAAATGAATGTGATTTGGTATTACCTTGGACTGGCGAAGGTCTACCAATGCCTTGTAACGACCTACTGAGGCCATGCTACCCAGATGCTTGTACACAAAAGGGCCACCTAAAGGGATGTCTTTTGCACTCAAAGCCTTCCCCCCATTCTGCTTTCCAATCTTGTTAAACAACTCCACTAGAAACTTTCCTTCCCTTTCTGCAACCTGTTCTTGACAGTTCAATGTTGTTAGAAGATGATTAAACCATACATAAACAAAGAAATTATAGAAGGTGATATGTCAATGTCACATATAAAGGGTATAACCTGAGCTAAAGCTGGAAGCACTGGTCGTCCTGTCTCTTCAAGAAAACCAGCACAATCTCCAAGTGCAAACACATCCTCCACAGAAGGAACCCGTAACCATTTATCAACACCAATCCTGCAATGGATAATAAGATGAATCAATATTAGCCCAGATGCTGGGGAGCAAAACATTTTGAAGGGAAAAAAAGGAATGTACCTTCCACCCGGGGACTTTGGAAGATCCAGTGATTTCACAAACTCAGAGGGTCCAACACCTGTAGACCATACCAACAGGCCATAAGGAACATCACTTCCATCACTCAGAACAATTCTTCTGTCATGCACCTCTTTCACAACTCCTCTCATAAGGCGAACACCGCACTGATACATAAAATTTTACAACATTATAATATATAGTCCATATAACAATCATGATTGAAAATTTTAAAGAATCTGCAGGCCAATTTAGATTACTTTTGTCAAGTGTTTTGTAGCATATTGTCGTAGCCCCACATCGAAGGATGATAAAATCTCATTAGCCTGTTCAAAGGAAACACTAATGTAGTTACAACTGTCCATAGGCAAATGGAAAGTTCAACTTATAAGTATGGGGAGCTTTACATATTGATTATACAAATACCTCTATGACTGTCACTTTGATGTAGTCTCTAACGTGAGGATACCTCTCCCGGACGTCTCTCATGATAAAATCACTCAATTCACCACTAAACTCCACGCCTGTTGGACCTCCTCCAATGACAACACAGTGTAAAAGGCGTTTCCTTTCTTCTTCTGATATGCCTGCACCAACAATTATATTCAAGGGCTAGAAATGTATTAACAAATGAAATAGAGAAATGTACTGAGTGGATCGTGTTGTTATTGTAGAACATCTCTTACCTGGGTTTTCAGAGAGCATGAGGTTGAAAAGAAGCTTCTTTCTAATTTCTTGTGCATGATTCACTTCCCGGAGGAAAAAGGCATGTTCTTTTACTCCTTTGATACCAAATGTTAAAGGCTCAGCGCCAACAGCTATGACGAGCTTGTCATATGCCACTTTGAATTGGTATGGTTCATGAGGCAATCCACCATTGCTGATGGTCTGACAGTATACCTGATTATGTAAAGGAAACGGTTAGATTTCTTGTCTGTAATGTGACTTCAAAATGAGGTATAAAGCAGAGGAGACTTTGAATTGGACTGACTTCATGCTTCTTTGTGTCAAGGCCAATGCAGGAAGCTAAGTAGAAGTGAGAATTGGGATTAGTTGCCAATGCAGTCTGTATCCGATTAACAGGCTCAGCTACTGAACGGAACTCCAAGGTTCCAACACAAGTTGAAGCTAGCAAAGGAGTAAAAACCATGTGATTCCTTGGTGCTATGCAAACAGCATCATATGTTTTTGTGTCAAGCCCCTTAAGAAATCGACAAGCAGCCCATCCAGTTCCAAGGACTACCACCCTAGGCTTTTCACCTGGTTTGGTGGCTTCTAGTCCTGGATACCTTTGCTCTTCGTATTCAGATTCGTGTTCCTCCAAAACCCTTTCTGCCAATGGAAATTGATAATATGGAGATCCCCTTAGTCCCCTGCTCCAAAAACTCATGTGATTTAGCTTGCCAATGCTTGAAAGATAAGAGAGATGGCTGTTTGCTTTGGCATTTTCAAGGGATGGTAAAAAATATTTGTATCCAAATACTCCCTCACAGAAAATGTCCTTCCCGCTTGACTGACTTCCAATGGCACTTACCGACCTCCTCAAGCCTGTTCTTCCAATTCTTGCCAGTGCCATATTGAGAAAACCAGTTCTCAGAACAAACCTTGATGCCTTAACTTGAAAAATTAACCTATTGAATCTGCATTCAGGAAGGTGAGAGAAGTAAGAAATGCAAGTTACAACTGGTGTTGAAGAAAGAGTTCAAGGGATGTACTAAATAGAGGTGGCCAATTCATATACTCCAAAATATTTGGACAAAGGAGTACACTAATCCTACGGTTATAGCAATGGTCCATAAAAGTCCAGATAACAGAACAAAGTATGATAGAGCATGACAACAATTGTTCCCAAGACTTGCAACTTCACCAGAAAACAAATACCAACTTAGCTAGCTTATTTTTGTTTTAAGAAACAAAGACAAAACTCTCCTACAACTTCGAAAGGAGCTAAGAAGATATAAATGGCATTTCTCTTCACGACCACACACAATTTATGTAGTGCAATTCTTATACCCCAATATGTTAAATGTTATGGTTTAATCTAAGCACACAATGATCATTATCCGAACCCAAAATCTTTAGACACCCGTGTATTGCTTAGCTCTAAACAGGATATAATAAGATATGAAGCAACGCAAAGATCAGAAAGTCATGCTGCTGGCATTATCAGGGGCTAACTCAGATCATGAGCAGGCAGTTGAGTGCAAACCTTGCAACTTATAAGATCTTCATTTGTTTTTCAACTACAATCTAATTGTAGTAGAAAATTTGGTTAATGTCTTTCCTCCTTTTCTTGAAAGTTAAGATTTCAACTCATTAGCTTAATTTGTTTAATACCAGAAGAATAATCAAGAGAAATAAAAAATTAAACCAAGATCCAGCATGTCTACTCCTGGAAGCATATATAGAAGACCTACAATTCAAGTTTAGAGACTGCCCAAAAAATCTAAAGCGATTATTTCTAAGAAAGTATACTGACAATCCGAAGAATAGTAGCTCAAACAAACATCATTTGGTTGAAGAAAACTCATTTCTATTAAAAATGCCAGGCATCTCCATCAAGAATATTCTCATTTTTAACACTGGGGTCAAAAGAATGTTATAATATTATTTGACCAATTACCAGTAGAGCATTTTTTTAATAGAAAAATCATGTTGTTCCATGACCCAATTTATAGCTCAGTAGGAAATGACTAGAAAACTTACAATTAACAAATAGGTAGAAGATCAAAACTACAAATCACAAAGGCAGAGATCCATGCACAGAGCAGTCTTGCTGAGGCAAAGAACTTGATAAGATTCTACACGAACTCATCCAAAAAGTTCAACTGCTAAAAAGAAAGGAAAACATGCAGATTTTATAAGAATCCAGAAATCAAAAAGGAGAAAATAGAGCTCGCTGAACATATATATTAACGCTATATATAAGATGCCCTATTTTTGCTTCGTCAAACAAATACCAATATATCAACGGAGCTGCTTTACTGCTATAGACTTTGATTAACATATCAAGACGAAGCAGGAGCCGACCGAGAGCAGAAAAAGGAGAAGGGTTAAGAGAATTACTTTGTGTAGGAGAAACGATCTTCTCTGTTTTTGTGGGTTGAAGCTTTAATTAGTAATGCTTATTTCCAAGATCTCTGGAAATATAAAACCCGAAATATTGGCGAGTTGAAAAACTTAAAACAAGAATAGCAACAATGTTTGTTTATATATATATAGGTGGATCAGAAAAGGTGGCGGAAGTAAGCTAGTGGAGGGAGTCAGACAGACCAACTTGGGACTCAAGAAATCTTTCTCTGATCCTGTGAATAAATAACCATAAATTATTTGTTTATAGTCAGAGAAATTCAGAGAGGAAGAAAGAAAAATGGAAAACGGCATTCGAGGAAGGAAGCATTTTTCCGTATATTCCCTTCCTGCGAGTTGGCAAACGAGGAAAAAAAAAACCACAAAAGATGGAAATTGAAGGAAAGATGTTGCCGAAAACGGCGTCGTTTAAAAGGTTTTCCAGCATGTAAAAAGACAATAATGTCCTCGGAAGATGGATTCACATGGAGTAAAATGAAGGGTAGTTCGGGTAGGTGGGGTTGGTCAGGTCATGGCTGCTCAGAATAGTCAAAACCCTAGTTGAGGGTTTAACAGGGTAAGGATCAGGTGTGGTGAAGTCTATTGTAAGCAAGATTCTATTGGTTCCTGATGAATAAAAGTCAAAATTTTAAACGTGGAGAATAATCAGACGGCAAGATTGTATTGAAGGGAGAGATTTCGTATCAAAGCGAGATATATGTTAGTTTGCACCGCAAGTTTCAACAGTGGCCGGTGGGTGTCAACAACGTGAACCCTCACCTTGTCGTTGTCTCCTACATTTTCGGAGATGCTGGCGGGCTGTTATGATTCTTGTCGTTTTACTTCTGCAAAATTGAGAGTGAATTCCCATCGTTGGTTCAAAACGACCAACGCCCAGACATGAAACGCAAAATCAAGTTTATTACATTTAATTTTATTAAATCCCGTTTAATTTTGGTTCTCTTCATTTTTTAAAAGAGAAATTATTTTGTTTTCATTATTAATTAATTTTTATTTAATTACATACTCTTTTTTTTTTTTTTTGTCATACGGAATTATATATATATTTTATTCCAAAGGGTCGATCGTAAATAATAAATTGTAATTATAAATAAAAAATAGAAATTATAAATTTTAATTTGTAAAAATTTAATTACTTGTTTTAGTTATTTTATTTATCAAAAAAAATATCAAATTTACATACAGAAATAGTTAGGAAACAAATACTAAACATAATTGGTGTGATTAATGAAATTAATTATGTTGTTTAAGGTTGTAATTAATTAATTAAGTTGCTGCAACATGATCTTCTTGTCTCTCACCAAGCACCCTGTTCAACACCATGGCCAATCTAACCCCTCCTTGAGTGATGCGTTTCATGACGATGGGCAGCCTTGATTCAAAGTAATCATCTGCCAACACCAACAATTTAATTTCATGGCTTCAGTTATTAGTTAATTAATTTAATTTAATTATTGAAATTTCTTAGTTAATCTAATTAACTTTGTAATTAATGTTATTTTAATCTTTAAAATGGTTTACCTGAGAGAGTTTCACCAGACTTTACTCCTTTATAACCCCATTTGCAAGCTATGTTTATGCTTTCTAGTGCATATCTGCATCAAACATTAACCAACCTCCATTACGTACAAATATATATATATATATATATAAACCAGAAAATTTAATAGCTAAATGATACTTGTAGACTGATGACAACACAATCAACTCTGATAGAAGAAAAAAAAGAGAGAAAAGCTTACTTGTTAGGACAGGAAAGAAGGTCATCACAGTCTCTCCATGATGATACATCATCAGACCATATCCCCTGCTGCATATAGACATGGAAATATATATATATATATATATATACAAACCGTATAACAATTGGTTAAACGTGATCAAAACAGATGAGGGTGAGATATAATTACATCAGTGAAGTTCCTCTCCAAGTCTTGTTGGAGAAGGTCCATATCCTTTTCGTAGTAATCTGCAAGAGCTGTCAGAATGATCTCCCTATCCCACACCTGTAATTTTTCTTTCAAATATTAAGCCATACAAAAAATAAAATTTATCAGACTTGTTTAATTTCCAATTTTCTGACACTCACATGGTGCAGATTAGATTTGTGTCGAAACCAGCGTAGTTCAATGGTGTTTCCACCTTCATCACTTGTGAAACCAACATGCATTGGCTGTCAAAATAAAAATAAAAGTAAAATATAAATAAAAAAAACTCCATTGATGCATTTTTGACTGAAGTCTCAAAGACTGCTGGTTTCTATGAGTTACCTGATGAATATCTCCCATGAAGTGGGACAAGAACAGTAAGGCTTCAGTCATATTATCTATAGAAGATCACCAACATTTACAATGAAGAACCAAGAAAAAATAGAAACCCAGAAAGTTAAATCACATAATCAATCTTACGTCGACGATCAGAGGTTCCTTCTTTGTAATGCAGAAGCTGAGAGGTAAAATTTTGGATAGCACCATCAACGCACATGTTCTTCAGGCCATGAGGATCATGACAGTCTCCTACAATAATTTATATATATAGAAAGTTTCAACCTTTTCACCTCTTGGAAGAAGAAAATAAGAAAAAGAATTTAAAGTTTGTTACTTGAATACTTGTAAGTGCAGGCCTTATCAGGTGTGTCAATGAAATGAAGTGAGCTTGTCCACCGGTATTTATACCAGTGCCGGATTTGGTCTGGCCATGTACAGAGACTGGATAAGTCGCCATTGACATAGTCAGGTAAAAGATTCTGAACTGCATGTGCTGCCTCAGGATCCAACAGTTTCTGTCAATTGAAATTTTAACTGTTAGTTACTGCTTACTGCAGTAAAGCTCATCTGCAAACTCTGGGAGCCAAAAACCACCAAGGAAATTTTTTGATCTAAACTTGATCACGCAGTTTTGAATCCTATACCTCCACATGATGATCGAGATAACCATCTGGCAAAATTTATCAGAAAACATTACCTGTGCAATTCGACATGTGATGATATGACCCTCTTTGCTCCAGCTCAGGGTTTCAGGTACTAGAATGAAAGCTGAAACCAGTAACAGGACAAACTCATACAGAAAAGATTTCCCCATAACTCCAAATCTGCCAATTGTATTAGATTTTCTCTCTGCTAATATACCTTTGAGTCTTTTTCTTCTAAAATATGATAACAGGAAAGAAATACATTGAGCCACTAGAATGAGCCTATTATATATACACACACGCACACACACATATATACACAAGTAATGGAAGAATATCATTGAGTGCAAGTTAGAAATTTCCATTATTTTAAGTATCACCAAGGATTGACCTAAAACACAAGCAAGAGTGGCTAACAGCATCACATCAGCCCTATTTGACCAACAGTTTTTTTTATCTTACTTGTCTTAAAAGTCTCAATTACAAATGAATTAGTTTTATAACAATACTCCACATGGAAAGAAGTCCAAGCAGAATAATATATCTCTTCATGCTTCGTTTGTGATGATCTCTCTTATCTCTTCATTCTTTCTTTATGCTTCAGCAATTTTTTCTTGAGAAGCAAATATCCGGTTTAATGTGGCAGCTAAGCGAATCCCACCTTGTGCAAGCCGTTGCTCCACAATAGGTAACCGAGTAAGGAAGTAATCATCTGCAACAAAAGAAGGGATTAGTTGTAAGGTGATATAGAACAGACATGGCTTCAAGTTATGGGATTTGGGTTGTCCATCATGTTAAACTATTTGACTAGCGAAGATACCTCCCAAAGTACTTCCTGGTGTGGCATTCCTGTAAGCAAACTTGCATGCATAACGGACGCTTTCAGAAGCATACCTACAGTTTATAAGCCCGATCATTTTTTGCAGAGTGAATCACCAGAAGCAGATTTTCATTTCCAGAAATTCCTAAGTTCTACATGAAGTTAAAATTTGTACCATAGTTATGATACAAGCATAGGACCCTGAGTAATTGTGCAAATTGCGGGATACATTTGCTCTCAGAAATATGGAATATATATATATCTAAAATTGCATCTTTATCATCATCAGGATTCAGAATCCATATTTTATTATTTAGTCAGGCAAGTCAAATACCCAACTAATTCTATAACCCCTATCCAATTTCACAAGAAATAGTTTATTGCTGTCCTTATTTAAGCAAATAGAAGATCTTTATGCATATAGCCATTAAAATTTGAATCATCCTTGTTTATACAAATAGCATTTAAGAGTTTAACCTGTGAACATACCTCACCAGCTCATCGCCAAATTTGGCATCTTAATGGCTTTGTGTAACACAAACATATATAGATAAAAAGCGATGGATAAGTTTATGGGCTTACAGATTTGGACAGACTGTTTGATTACGTTCACAATACTCCCAGGATGATTTATCATTGGACCAAGTATCCTACACACAAAAGTCAATAAAAACATCAAATTGTTTTTCACGAGGATCAGCCTACAGATATTCACAAAGTCATGGAACTATGGAGAATGGAAAAAGCAAGTGTTAGACCTCCATTTGCCCCAAGGTAAGGTTCACAAGCATGAAAATTATAACAGTTAAAATAATGAAGTTCTATTAGGAATGTCATTGCCTCTCTGAGATGCTTATCCATGAGTATAAGAAAGGAGATTCATACTGTAATATTCCTTTCAATGGCTTTAATGAATATTGCAAGATCTGAGCCGTAGAATGTCTTCACAGCAGAGTCAATTATCATGTTATCCCATACCTAGAACAGAACACTTTCAATCATGTCTGCACCGACTATTAGAAAAATAAGCCTTAGATCATCAAAAGCATCCAAATAGTATTATTCCCATAAAAAGTTTAAAGCCTGAAGTAACCACAAATTGTACCTATCTTTCAAGTCAAATATTTAATGATATTTGATTTTCCATAATGTTATCGAAGAGAAAAGAAGTATGGAGAGGAAAAGTAAACATTTTTAGGGACTGCACATACTTACATGATGTAGATTGGACTTCCTACGGTACCAATGAACTACTATTGTGTTCCCACCTTCATCACCAGTAAAACCGACATGCAAGGGCTGTCACCAGAAAGAAAAAGAAACTAAGAGGTGATGTATCTTTCCCATTTTTGAGTATAAATGTTACATAAGATAACAGCAGATCAGCACTTAATCCATTCAATCAAGAAGGCAGATATATGATTACAGAGGCCCATCGCCATCAGAGCATGCGGGCACTATAGAAACCAAACTAATTAGAACTGATGGAAATCTCATATTCACAACGTGCAAATAGCATGCAAAACAAAAAAATACTGAAAATATCCAATTTGACTGCGAAGAATTTAGTAGAATTCAAGGTAATGATTGTCCTTCTACAGACCAAAGATTGGCCAATTCAAATCAATGAATTTGTTCTATGCACTCCAACCAGTTGTGTTTCACTTAAGCAATCATGATGTTTGTACGAAATTAAATCAGCTATTAGCCCTCCTCATAGTGCAAATAAGTCAACCAGCGTTCTTGCCAATCAGGCAAGACCCTCAAATCTGGAGATATTTAGATATTTCTAACCACCACCAGACAAGAGTGAGCTGCTCGCTAATGACTACTGAAACTATAGCAAGCCAGCTAATTGTGGCTGTCCTGCGTTTATTAGTCCCCTTCTTTCAACACCAAATATTAAAAAAAGAAAAGAAAAGAAAAGAAAAATTCAATCACTACTTGGTTTCAAATTCCTTTCCCATTTTTTATGGGCACATGAAGTGTGTACAAGAGCAGAGTGTTGACCCATGGTCAATTCAAT